AAATGAAGGGATTTAAATCATGATCCATATGGTTATATGGTTACCTAATCCACTTCAGATGTTCAGATATTTATAAGTATTCAAATGAAAGACTATTTTGTATTTCTTGATAAGGAAAGCATCTGCTATGTGCTCTCAATATGCTATTACACTATTAAAAAAGCTGTCTTTTAGTTTTAAATCAGGCAGATGATGGCAGTAAGAAGTGCACTGTACTGTAATCAAGTGGGACTTCCCAAAGAACAGGTAATGGAAAGTAAAAAAACTGACTGGATTATAGCTGCTTTCCTATAAAAACCTGGTGATCTTGCTGTAATAAATCCTTAAAGAAAAACAATGTATTGTTATGGAGGGCAGGCAGGCAGTGAGGTGCTAAGTTAAAGAGGAAGAGAACAAACAGCAGGAAGGGGAAGAAAATGAACAGGAGGAATGGGAGGAAGAAGGTAAGAAGGGTAAGAAGGAACTAAGGGCAAAGGTGGAGGAAGAACAGCAAGCATAGAAGAAATAGAAGGAATAGGCAGAATATGAAGCAGAGCAGGAGACAGAAGGAAGAAGATGAAAACAGGATGTGGAAGGAGAAGAAAGAGGAGGATGAGGAAAAACAAGAAGAAAAAGAGGTTAAGAAAGAGATGTGGAACTGTTAAGTGACATACTAATCATTGAAGTCACAGTATTTCTTCCCAAAGTGGGAGCTGCTTTTACTTTGAGTAAAAATGAATTTTTCCTTAATGAGTTGTTACCAGACACACAGTCAAGCTGTAAGTACTTTCTTAGCTTCCCATTTTTGTGAAGGCAGCAAAAAGACCCATTGCAGAAATCAGCAATATACTGCGGTTTCTTCAGAAAGCAAGTTGAAGAAAACAAAATTCAGTAGTTATTTAAGTACTCTGCCCCATATCTGCCATCTTCCTAAATTCCATACAACTGCAGCCACAGTATTTGACAAACAAAATTAAAGGATCTACACTAGCTTGGGTAACAGTGAAGATTAACTTGTGTTTTAGGGTCCTCTAGCATTTACCTCTAAATCAGAAACAGTGTTTTTCTTCACAGTTCCCTTGAACACTACAATGAAGACTTTCAGGGTCTTCTATACGTAAAGTGTACATACTATGTAGGCACAGCGTATGCCAGAAGTATCAAAGCTTAGCTTTGAAGAGGCTGATTTACCTCTATTGCATACCTTGGTGGGCAGGCTTAAGTATCAGTATAATCACCTTAGCTCAGGTATCTCAACACAGTACTCCACTGTGCAGCACAAACAAGTTAAAAGTTCTGCCTCAGATCTTTCCCCAAAAGCATTTTTAGTATCTTACAAGTTTAAAAATGCAATGGAGGTGCTTAATACACAAAGTATTTGAAAACAAATATGAAAAATAAAGAAATATGAGACAACTTTGAAGGCAGTGCTAGTAAATAACTCTTCATCCAGCACCAAGGCAGCTTACTTTCACAGCTGGTAGCATAACACAACAAGTGTTACAGCAACAATTATGCAGTCAACATTAGTTTCATTTGTTAGTGAAGAAAATAAGTGTCTACTTAATATCTACTTAATACACTAAAAATCACCACTGATAAGTTGAAAAGAAAGCTTTTTCAAACTTTTCTAAAAATTAAAAGTGCTGTTATAAATAAAGTATGAAGAGTTAAATAACTTTAGTCTATTTTTTATTTATCAAATTTGTTTTTCCTGATTGAGTCATAATCATAACCTACAATACAGAAGGCTCTATTTGAGTTCATTGTACAAGTGACATCAAATAGAAACAAAAGGCCATCACCTCCAGGAAACGCTGAGGATCACACTCATGGACAAGCTTTTCACAATCCTTCAAAAAATTCTCAATGGTCTTCTTGTGAGTTTCTTTCATTTTCTTCCAAATCTGAAATTCTTTCTCTTTTTTACCTCTTTGATTTTCAATGTCTTCTAGTAATTGCTGTTTTTTCATTTCTAGAGTTTTGAAAATTTCTCCAAATTTCAGCTCAATTATCTCCACATCGTTATTCAGCATCATCTAGAAGGGCAAGAACATAGGAACACATGCAAATGCAGTAGCAGTGTATATTGACTTCTCTAAGTAAGTTCAGAGCACATCTACACCACAAGAAGGACCTCTATGTTGTGATTAAGCTATCATGAGAAGACTAACACAGACACACATACACACATAATATGCAGCATCTGTAACTCACATCCGTATCATTTGGTCGTTTTGAGATCTCATTCATCAGCTTCTCATTTATTATTCTCATTTGTTTCAGAGTGCTGAAGAAGGTTAACTGAAAGACAATTGAAACACTTTATTATGACTTTATCCATTCCACAAATACATTTCAGTGTTTATCTAGAATCAGATCATGAAAAACATAGAGCTACTGGAAAGGGCCCAGTGGAGGGCCACAAAGATGATTATGGGTCTGGAGCACATCTCTTATGAGGAGGGACCGCATGAGCTGGGCCTGTTTAGTCTGGAGAAGGCAAGACTGAGAGGGGATCTCATTAATGCATATAAATATCTCAAACCTGGGTGCAAAGAGGATAGCGCCAGACTCTTCACTGGTGCCCAGCAACAGAACAAGGATCAACAGCCATAAACTAGAACATGGAAAGTTCCTCAATGTGAGGAAGAACTTCTTTACGCTGAGGGTGGTAGAATACTGGAACAGGCTGCCCAGGGAGGTTGTGGAGCCTCCACTCTCTGGAGACATTTAAACCCCACCTGGATGCATTCCTGTGTCACCTGCTCTAGGTGACCCTGTCTTGGCAGGGGAGTTGGGTCCCTCCCAACCCTAACTATTCTGTGATATTTTGTACAACATATTAAACAAAGGTTGCAATTCAAAATGTCACTTAAAACATTTAATGCTTTCCTGGATCAGTACACAAACTTTCTTTTGCTCTTTCTCAAAGTAACGTTCTTAGGCTTACCTACAATGCGTACTGCTGGAACGGCTGCTTTATAGTTAAAATATTGTTTTACTTAACCTTTTTTTAACCTCTCCCTTCACACACATCTATCACAATGTAAGTTTTAATGCTGTTATTCCAGTTTGACAACAAACCATGTGATAGCAATTTTTTTTTATGCCTCACATCAAAAAAATAGAAAGCTTTTCACAACCAAGATATCTGGTTTTAAACTAATATTATCACAGATTTTTTGCTACAGTATCACTAAATTTTATGTAAGATGTCTAGTGCAAAGGCTGTTTTCCCCTGGTTTCCTGATTGACACGCAATTGATGATGGAAGAGGCAGGAGAAAAATTAGTGTAAAAGCAACTTTTGTCTTAAAGAATAGTCAGTGCTGTACTTAGTACTTTCCATCCACTACTATGTAGTTGTTTCAATTACTCTATAGCAGAACTGATGTATGACATGCCAACCTGCACCCAATTTGAACAGGGCATGAAGAGCTCATCCTACCCTAATATTTTGGCAAAAATCACAACTACTACAACCAGCCAACCAAGCATTAGGCCAGGCAGTTGCTTCTTTCATGCAAACTGGAAGGCATCTTGGTTTTACATTTATCTAATTATTACTCACCCAAACTATCTATTCCTAAATATATAATTATCTATGACCCAAATTACTATGGCAGCTCAGAGAACCTATAAACAAAACATCTGTGGGTGGATTTTGGTGGTGTTAGTAAGACTAGCATCTTCCTGAACTTGGAAAAACTGGATCCAGACATGCAATAAACTCTTAGCATCAGTGTTTTTTCAGCAAAGACCGCAAGCCTCTATATGAAAAAAAACCCAACCTACTACAAACCAAAGCAACAACAAAAAAACCAAACCAAACCAAAAACTCTCCAGGTGCTTCGGTAAACTGGGTTCAGATCTGTTCATACTGTAATACTGCCTGGTCCCCCGTGTGTGGTGGATGCAGTGTGACGGCAGCAGGGGAATGCACACCCCGGCAGCCACGAACAACTCCTGACTCTGGATCGAGCCAGCACAATCCCTCTGCCTCTCTCCTGACCACCACACTGCGGTTTTCCCTGCATTTCTGAGTAAACACAACCCGTGACTGGAGGGACCCCCAGTGGACAGCCCGACTTCTCAGCCGGGCCCCTGGCGCGGAGGGGACGCCCCGGGCTTACTTTTTCTTCCTGGTACACCGTGTCTATGAGGTTAACGGAGTGGAAGATGCCCTGGTGCTCCTCGGAGACGCACTGCCCACACCCCGCCTGCCGGCACATGCGGCAGTAGAGCTGCACCGGCCGGCTCGGGTGTTTGTGGCAGCTTCCCCCGAGCGCCAGCGGGGACAGCAGGTCGGACCCCGGCCTCGGCCCCGGCGCCGCCTCCCCGGTCTTGGCGGCGCCCGCCGCGCCAGACCGGTAAAGCTTGACCACCTCCGCCAGGGTGGTGTTGACGGGCAAGGCGGCGACGCCGCCGCGGGGCAGCAGGCACAGCTTCCTGCACAGCGGGCACGGCACCCGGGCGCAGGGCGGGCCTGGCCCCGGCGCCCCCCGGCCCAGGCGGGCCTGCTCCGGGCCCCGCTGCAGCTGCCGCAGGCGGGCGGCCTCGGCCGAGGCCAGGCACTCCAGCACGCAGCCCCGGCAGAAGTTGTGCGAGCACAGCGGCAGCGTCACCGGCTCCTCCAGCAGCGACAGGCACACGGCGCACGTCAGGCTCGCCTCCATCGGCGGCGGTGAGGAGCAGGGCGGCCGCCGCTCCTGCTGCTGCCCTGGGTCTGACTCGTGGTCTGACTCGTCCCGCTGCCCCGCCGCTTCCAGCTCGGCGGCACCGAGGGGCTGCGGCCGCGGCCCAGCAGCCCGAAAGACCGCGAACACGGCGCTTCTAGCACCGCTTCCAGCCAGCAACTCCCCAAGGGGCGATACCCGCCCGCAGGGGGCGGGGCGAGGAGAGGCGCGTTGGCGATAGGCGGAGGCCTGAGATTGACGTCGCTGCTGTCCAATAAAAGCAGGCAACGACACGGGGGGTGGGGCGGAGGGTTGTGGGGCCCGCCCCGTGCTTGGCGCGCGGGCGGTTGCGTTACGGAGCGCGCGCAGGGTCCTAGCGCCGCCACCGCCATCTTGTGACGGGCTCTGGGCGGAGTTTCCGCCCCGCGTGCTGGCCGGGAGCTTCGGGAGCACGGGGCGCTTGTGTTCCAGAGAAGTGTCCTTGTTCCCATTTGTGGGCGTGCCGGGGTAAAACGAAGTGACTCCACTTCGTGCAGATGTACGGCTGTAGCCAGCTGCCTCTAGCTACAGCCGCAAAATCAGAACAGAACTTCGGTTTAGGGTTGTGTTGCTGCTGAGAAGTTGGGACGGTGCTCAGCTCATTCTCCTTTTTTTTTTTTTTCCCTTAGATTCTTTTTGGTCCCAAAACCGTTCCTCCCAGAGTTCAGGCTTAACAATTAAACTATCTGCTCGAAATGTTTTGAAATGAGTTAAACTCAAGAGGGACTCGAATGAAATTTTAAGTTTATTATAAATCAATAGAGTTGTAACACGAAGTCAGTATTTTCAAAGAAGCCGGATAACGCTGCAAATAGTGTTAATTCCACCGGCTGAGGGAAGGACAGGAGCAAGCGGCAGCAAAGGAACCAGGTATTTGTAGGTTTCTGTAGCAGTGCTTTATTCAGTCTCAGTGAGCTGCACCTGCAGAAGTGCCCGTGTAAAAACATCCAGAACAGCTCTTCCCGGTCAGACACATTGTGGCTGCAGGCCAAAAACCAAGGGGCAGATATTTCAGTGAATATGCTCCAAAGGGCCACGGCAGACCTCGATGATCAGGACGGTATCTACATACGAAATCGTACTGATGGAAGCCTATTCAACCTAAGGTGACTGAAGGCCCACACCAAGACCTTAAACCATCTTGTCCGGGAGCTGCTTTATGCTGATGACGCTGCCCTTGTTGCCCACACAGAAGCAGCTCTGCAGCGTTTAACATCCTGCTTTGCAGATGCTGCTGAGCTTTTTGGGCTGGAAGTCAGCTTAAAGAAGACAGAAGTTCTCCATCAACCTGCACCTCAGGAAGTCCCCCATCATCCCCACATCACCATCGGCCAATCAGAACTCAAATCAGTCCAGCAGTTCAATTACCTAGGCAGCCTCAACTCCTCGGATGGTAAGATTGACGGGGAGATAGACAACAGGTTAGCAAAGGCATATAGTGCTTTTGGAAAACTCCATAAAAGAGTATGGCGTAATTAACACTTGAAGAAAAGTACCAAGATCAGTGTTTACAGAGCCATAGTGCTGTCTACTCTCTTATATGGTTCCGAATCATGGGTCATCTACTGCCACCACCTGTGTCTCCTAGAACGCTTCCATCAACGCTGCCTCCGTACAATCCTAAACATCCACTGGTCAGATTATGTGACCAATACATCTGTTCTTGAACAGGCAGCAATCACAAGTATTGAGGCCATGCTACTGAGAACGCAACTGCGATGGGCAGGGCACGTCTCCAGGATGAAGGACCACCGCCTCCCTAAGATCCTGCTCTATGGTGAACTTGCCACTGGCTGCTGCAAGAGAGGAGCTCCGAAGAAAAGATACAAGGACTCCCTGAAACAACAACTCAGCCTCGGGCATATTAATCACCATAATTGGTCTACTCTGGCTTCCAATCGGGAGGCCTGGAGACAGACCATCTATAACGCTGCTGATGCTTTTGAGAAAGCACGCAGGATCACCCTTGAGGAGAAAAAACAACGCAGAAAGAATCGAGCCTTGCAGAATATACCATCCAAGGAGTCTTTCTGCTGTGCCTTTTGCAACTGGACGTGCCTTTCTCGTATTGGCCTTTTTAGCCACCAACGCGCTTGCAAGAAACGTGGGTAGAGCCCTTCCCAAATCTTCATTCGCGAAGCCCAGCCATGATGATTGACCACACTTTCCCTCACTTCTATGTCCGTAAGACGCTGACAGCAGGTACGTGCACACAGGCTGGGAAGTCGCATGGATAGGCTGCCCTCCATAGACTTGGGGTGTTTAAAAAGCAGCGCCACGTTTTCCTGTGGAACAGGGACTCGAGGCTGAGCTCTGCTGTCTTTATTACTTGCGATGTGAGTTGCTGTCGCTAGGTGTTGTCAGCCTGTGTTTGCAGGTGTTCCAGGGAGCGTCACATCCTTCAGCCTCATTTGGAGGTGCAGTGTCATCGACTAGTAGTCAGCTCCTGAATTAAACCATCCAGGGCATCCTGCTCCATGCTCTGAAGGTCAGTATTTAATTAATGATTAAAATGAAATAGACACAGATGGAATTCAGAGTTTAATTCCATGGAACTTCTCTGCTCAAAGCTAAGTAATGTTTCACCTTCCAGGGTTTTCCAGTGCGTGGCATTGAATCAGGAATAGTTTGGGTACTTGATTCTAATTTTTTCTTTTGTTTCAAATAGAATAAGGGAAATGACATTAAGTATGTGGGCCAAATGAAAGAGAATACTAAAGCATTCTGGTGAGTCACTGATAACAGATGGGGCAGATGCTTAATTTGATAGTAACTAAAACAATAATGTTCAAGAGCATAAAATATGAGGTATAAGAAGTAGGAAAGAGCAGAAAAAATTTACCTAAAGGAAGAAATCCTACTAATAAAAGTAAAGAAAGCAAAATATTTTTTTCTTACTCCAGTATGCAAGTGAGTAGGTTCTTCCAGAGCCTGTTGACAAATGTTTGGAGTGTTGTGACATGAAATGATAAACATATGCTTACATGGAGTAATTTTACCACTTGCTTCATTAATTTACATTAATCGTAAAACCAGAAATATTAATTAGAACTAGGAATAAAACCAGCTTCCTGCCAATATCTTTTTCTTGCCTCAAGAAAGATTTAATATTAGCAGATGTATAGTACTGATTTTGCTGTTCTATTATGTAAGGTAGGGATCTCTTACAGTTACTGCATTGTGTATAGCTTCAATTTCTATTTAAAATAGATTTGCAATCTTCAAAGTTTGTCTTCTTACTTAATAATCTTCTGCATCACCAGCACAGATAGCAAGTAAAGCACTCTCATAATGCCCTGATGCAAAATGCTGCAAGAAAAAAAAAATCAACATTTCAGTGACTATACCTTTTCTGAATTTTTCTTTTCTTGGTGTATGACAAGGACTAGACTGCTATATGGTTTTATAAGATATTACACTGTTTTCATAAGGATTACAGGCTGAGTTTTTTTTAATTTCACATACCTTGGTCTTTAATTGCTCAGGCACCTAGAGACAATGCTGGATCAAATCTGTTTATTACTTCTTAAGTTCAATACCAAAAAATCCTGAGCAGTTTCTTAAAGTTGCTGTGCATCTTGCAGTTGGATTATAGTGATATAAAAAAAGTAAAGTGTCTTAGCAAGAGTAATTTTTTTGGTACAATTAAACAGTTTCAAATTTTTGTTTTAAGATACAGAGCAAAAGTACAAGAGGAATAGTTTTTGTGAAAGTGCTGTCTAAGCGTAAGGATAAAACCAGATATTTATTTCAGTTTTGCACAAAAGTGGTATCAGCCTAACCTTGCAGAACAGCATGAAGTAAGATGTTTTCAATTAGTGTCGAAACCATTCATGCTAACTACTCCTCAGCACACACTGTCCTGCCCTGTTTATATACTCCTCTTGCATTGGGGAGGGACAAAATCACAGAGAGAAAGTGAGTTGAGAATTCACTGCTCGCTTACTGAAGCCAAACCAAGGCACTGAAAATTCTCTGTTGTTTTTATACATTGCTTTTTTTTTTTTTTTTGTGTGTGTGTTTTGTTTTTTTAAAATCGAGTGGTTAAATGGAGATTAATCCTCTATTTTTCTGGTAGGGCTTTGCACCGTCTGTGTGATTCCAGGGCTGAATATATGCAAAAGTTTGCAGAAACTTACTTTAATGTCGTGGAAGAGTGATTTCCCATATCTTTCTTTGTATCGCTGCCGTATATTTATCAAGTCAATCTCACTCCTGGCGATGAGAATTCTAATAACTGTTTTATTGTGAAACCCAAAGTCCTAAAATGAAAAGAGAAGATGAGAGGAAACTTGACAGTTGGACAATATATGTTTGCTTATCTGTATATGTTCATAATAATGTTTAATAGATAAAGATAAGATATATCTATATAGTGTAAGCAGGTATATAGGATATATAAGATATATCCATAAAGGTATCCTAGACTTTAAAGGAGTCTAAACATTCAAGGGTTTTATCCTATGGAGTTTTATACTTTAGAATTTATCTTACTGAATAGGAAGGGGTGCCCACATGCCAGTGTTTTATCCATGCACCAAAACTTTTAACAACAAAATTCTGATGATCTTTTGTCAGTAGTCTCAGGAATTCAGTTTGTGTGTAGCAGTTTTGACTGTCATTGTGGAGTTGATTCAAATTATACTGAAGCCGATAATGTGTTTCACAAGAACTGCTGCCACATGTGAATTTAATGAGACTTCTAACCATTGGTTTAGGATTTATATAATGTGTTTAGACGTGTTTATTCTGTTTCTAAATAAATTTTCATATTGTAATTTTGTGGAGAATGGGGACATCTAGTGACAATAAAAGTAGTCAATACAGGTTTAGGGCTGGGACAACTGATGACCAATTTAGATTCTTTAAAGCTAAATTGTAGTTTTATCAGCTAATCATTGATACTGAAATCTTATTCTCCAAAAACAAGTGATGAACTGTGTTAAAAAGCTGCATGTAGAAAATCTGATACATGTTTGATTGGCTAGATTAAAATATTTCTTATAAATCATTAAACCATTATGGACTATGTTTTCAAGCATTTGAATCGTGTGTAGGTTTTATTATATTATATTATAAATTTATGTATAAAAAGCTTTTGGCCTAATATGGATATAGCTTGGCTGCAAAACCAGACACTATTTTAAATTCTTGCATTTCTTTTGAGAATTTTCTGTGTTCTTTAAAACACTGAGAAAATATAGTAAAATATTAATTAAAACAAAATGTAGAGGTTTATTCTTAATAATTAAAAACTTATTCCTGCATCACATATGTTGTCTGAATATAATATAGAAGAAAGCTATCTATGTGATATTTCTTAAAATTAAAAAGGAGGTTTTAACTTGAAAAGCAGTCTTGATACAGAACATTGAGAAATATCACTTTTCCTGATAGTTGATATTTCCTGGTAGTTTTGGCAAACCTTTTTTGTGTCATGTACCAGAATCCCCTTTTCACAAGTCAGACAAAATATTGCCTCTTTCAGACCCTGGAATTTTTCTTGATTCTTTGCTGCCACAGTTGTTGTTTTAGCTGAAACATAGGACAGCAGTAGTGGCAGCATCTGGCAGAGGTTACTGGGGCACTTTTGGAGTGTTGGTTAAAAGTTTTGTTCGATGGTTCTGGCTTGGACTTCTTGTCTTTGTCATTTCTGCTCTAAGGTGATCCTTACTCATGGCTTATTCTTATGACAATCTTCTAAAGATTATACTTAAAAGATTAGCCTTATAAGATTATACTTTTGTTTTTATAAAACATAATGCATCATTATTTTCATTAATGAATGAAAAACAAAAGAAAATGTCTCCAGTGACATTCCTCCCTAGTAAGAGGAATTTGTGTTTCTTTGCATTTACCTACATTTCTCCTTGGCACTCATTTATTTTAGTATATTAGCACTTACTCAAAAAATAAAAGAACCTGCGTGGAGCCCCACAAGAAAATAAAACCTTTATATTTGTCTTTATGTAACACTGATTTATTATTTAATTTTTACCAATACTTATTAAATCTCCAGAGACAAAAAATTGCGTCTTAGGAAAAGTGCACCTTGAGTTCTGCACAGCAGGGGGGATACTGTCCACAGAAAAGAAATGTTTTCAATTAAAAAAAAATTGACAAAGTTACCTGACAGATACTGTTTTAAGGTATCTAAATATTTAACCCTTTACTGCCAAATGCTAACTGTAGCTTAGGCACTACTGCTTTGAAATTTATATAGGTATCAACAGTTTTAAAACATGCAAAGATTGAACAGAGTGATTTGTAAGTACTTGTTTAAGAATGATCAAACAAACAAATAAAAAAGGGAATCTGTTTTTTAAGACATGTCAAAAATGACTACTTACATGAATTGCATTATAAAGCCTGTAAGCAAAGTAGGAAGGCTTGTCACGAATGCAGAGGACTAGAAGAGAAGAGTTGCAAGAGGTAAACAGGAAATTATTATAAAATAATTTCTTTTGGCTTTGGGCTCCTTGAAATATAAAGCTGGCTTTTCATGACTCAGCTTAAAATTAAGCTACCAATATTCACTAACATAACTATATTTGAGATTTTAAAATTATGGTACTTATTTTGGGTGGGTCCGCATTGCTGTTGCCTCAAAGAGGTTATTAAATATCAGTGAATACACTCAAATGACTTCTTTGTTGAGATATTATTATCCTTATTCTATAAATGAGGAACAAAGGCACATAAAGCTTGAAACGTGTTTACATACCACCAAAGTCCTGAAAACATTGCCAATTATTTAATATTTTTAAAATCAATTGGAAATGCAGTTATCATTGATCACACAAAGTTTGTTACAAAATAAGGAACAAATACTAGTTCTGGTCGGTGAGGAGCTTGTGCTGCATGGATACATTTTTGGATTTACACAAACATGGGAAAGTAGTTAAAATATTCTTCTGTAATTATGTCAGCATTTAATTGCACAATGTAGGAGATTAAAGTGAATAAAAATATCAGAAAATAATATTCTTGATGCACAAGAGATAACATACTAGATATTTACTAAGAGATTAGTGCTAGTAAAAATAATATTTTTACATTACCTATTGCAACCAGTAATTCTTGAAAGTATCCATCGTAACATTCGTTAATGGCATCTACTATGTCTTGCCCAGAGATATTTTGGAACTCCTGGAAAACTTGGAGGGGAAAAAAACCACCTTGTTTTATTTTAGTTCATTAATAACGATCAATTTGCTTTTTTTTTTAGTTCATTGTTCCCCTCGATACTATAACTATTGAGTTCATTTTTTTGCCTTATTATTCACAGTGTTTCGTTATGTTTATATTCCCCAGGTAAGGCAATCTAAATGACCAGCCTGAAACCTGGCTTCCAGGAGATTCTCTGCCTGGGTTCTTCAGTCTACAATCTGAAATGAATGCATGCCACAGCCTCTGTTTCACTGGAAGCTTTAATAAATTCTCTATCTAGCAACATCTGTTTATGAAACCTAAGAATGTCAGATGATTAAGGCAAGTTCCTTGCTCAGCTTGGCTAAAACTGGCCAGAGATTCACGGATTGTGACAGGAAGCCCTGGCTTGCATGACATGTGTAACATGTCAGTATCCAGACCTGGACACTCTCTGCATAATGCGGGTATCCAGACATACAAATATACAGGGCATGCTTTCTCCTTTAGGGAAGGAGGAAAATTTTCAGCTCACTGCTTACTACAAAACTTGTGGAGGACTACAGTACAGGCAGAGCCCTCAAATCTCAGAAAGAGAGCAGAACATAAGCAGGTGTGTTACATTATTTTAATCCTATCAACACCAGCTGAATGAATTTGTTGATCCATGATAGCAAAGTAATTCTAAGGTACTGTTAGCAGTTGACATAAGAAATACAGTTGGATGCACAGTGATAAACTTGTCACCAGACGGTTTTTCCACTGCAGAGCAAAAACTCATACTTGTCACCAAACAGATACTATAGATTTCTTTTCTACAGTGGAAGATCTGGATGAGCTCACATGAATTTCTTGCAATCTGCAGTTATGTCTGATTCTCTATTTTGAATACAAATGGCCCTTGTGTTTCTGTGTGTATTTTTGTTATGGGAGAGTGGATGTGCACACTGAAGCGCTCCCATCAAAAACTTCTTTGAAACTTCCAGGGAAAAGCTTCAATACAGCAATGGGTTTTCACGTGCAAACGTTTGTTGAAAATACTCCATCCACCTCTCCTGAGGTGTTTCCCCTTGTAAAAGTTACTTAGGGAAAATGAAGAAAATTATTAAGAAAAATCACCTCATCCTATTGTGTCATGTGTAAACTCTGTGCAGCCATAGCATTTGCCTTTCTTTGGTCATGCATTCTTCCCTCTGTTATTAGGCATCCTGGTGCCTGTCTGTTCTGTCTACAGCTGTCAGGAGTCATCAGGCAAAGTTCAGTTTTGCATTACTTCCAAAATCCCATTAACATCAGTGGGAGTCTGAGCTCCAACAGTTCACACTTAGGTTTCAGGCTAATGCCCTGCTGCACACTGAGTGTCTTGGTATGCAAAGCATGGCTTTATTAGCAAGTCAGATTTTTCCTTTCCACTCTGTTTAAACAGCTGAACTGCTGGATTACCCATCCACAACTGCTGGTGGCTTCTGTTGCAGAGAATCATTTGCAGCATGTTTTTGTGTTCGCCTGTTTTCTGCTGGCATGCTTCCCATAGAATCTAGTATACCAGAAAAAGGAAAAAACATGCAAAATATTTTAAGTCAGTCCTAAATCACTTTTCAAAGTTTCTATTTTTTCTTTTTTTAATGTTTGAGAAGTTCACATCTGAGCATATTTACCATTGCATCCTGAGCAGCTGTAGAAGGGTCTGCATATCCTTCCATCCTTGTTCCCTGGGAAAAAAAAGTAATATTTTCTTCAAAAGTTAAATCCTAAAACACTGTAGGAATATAAAGTTATCTCTATATGAAGCTAACTTCCATATGTGGGCTTTTAGACTGGATAAGTATATTCCATGGTTGAATTTGCAAATGTAGAAAATATCCTCAAGTTGTCACATTATGTCTTCATTTTCTTTAATAAGATGAACTCTGGAATGACAGTCATGTGAGAGTGAAAAATGGGAGAAGTGGATAAGCCTATCCCATTCTTAGTGTCATTTTAAATAAGCTTTTAACTGACCACCACCATTCCACCACCATTTTCAGAAGTATGGATATTATATTGCTTACTGTAATATGTAGCTCTGAGGGGAAAACAAGGGTAACATTTGCCATTCACTGATTAGTTCTTATCAATATACATAATACCAGAAGAATCTTTTCTCAGTTTTTTTTCTCCCTGCGCAAATCATAGGAGCAAGTTCATCAAATAATGGAAATTTTGCTTGCTCAATCATTGTCTAAAATTAAGAACCAAGACTAAGAAATCATTTGACAAGTTTTATACACAAAATACTGAAGAATACTTCTAATTTTCCCATATATTTAATAACTTTTCTGTTACACAAATTGACCTAAATTCTTTAGTAAATACACTATCAACTGAATGTATAGCTGTTGGAAAAAGAGAAGAGCACACAACTATTGGAATTGCTTTTTTGACCATAGCCATCTTGTAAGGATACAAATCAACCTTGGTTGCAGAACTCTTAATCTCAAGCTCATGTAATCACTGCCTTAATATGTGTTTGAAAGAATTTAGTTTAAAATTTACAGTATTTTACCTTATGTGTGAAAGGGACAATTAAAATTATGTATTGGCTGTCAGCTTGTAGAACGACTGATTTGTAGCTCTTTCTTGTTAAAAATGTTAATTTATATTTTAATTAAATGGTAAGAATTTCACACAGTGAAACTCCTAGCAATAAGATAAATTACTTGAAGTAAATTATGATGGAATGACTGCATAAAGTTACATATACAAGAAAACACAGGAAACAAAGACAAGTGAACAATAACATAAATAATACTCTACATGACTCAAATGCCCACTTTTCCCAGTAACATTTGTATAATTATGTTTTAAATTGCAGAAAATTATCATATTTTGTTCGTCTCAGACTAGAATATTAGTCAGCCTGAATTTGTAATTCTGTTAATTTCTTTAAGAAGGACTATAAACTATAACTTCTAATCTGCCTCAGGCTGGACTTGAAAACTGTAAATACAACACAATAGTAATGGAATAGTTTGCTCTCCATATGTGAAGCACATTTACTTCCAACTGTAGTCAGATATGTGTGTCATCAGTCCCAAGATTTAATAGAAATTAAAGCAAAAGGTTTCTGAAAGAAAGCATTAAAGGATGCATCGGAATGTTGCTATAGAATAATCTTCTGTAAGTTGCATGGTAAAGGAACTAGAAAGGACCTATTTTAATAAAATATCACTGAGCTTAAATATAAGATCATATCCAAACATGAGTGATTTGACTACCAATCTTCAAAAGCAGACAGTATAACGGAGTAAAGTTGAAGTTTCCTGCAGCTTTTCCTTACCTTGAGAAAAATAGCAGATCTTGTTAGCTAAGAAGTTGCTGATTTTAGACCTCTTTATCAGTGCCTGGGGTTTAAGAAAATAAGGACTAATAACATATAATCTCAGATTATTTTAAATTTGGTTTGTTTGATGGGTAAAATATGGTTTTAATAAAGATGAGAGGTGAGGTTGCTTAACCTCTAGCTTTTAATTTTTAAGCAAGTAAGAATTTTCATTATTAGGGGAAAAAAAATGAGAAAAAAATATTTCCTGTTTGTAGCTTCTACTTTTGATGCATCTGCTCTTTGTACCTCAGTCAAACCCGCTGCTCTTTCATATCTCAGTAGGAACTTTTTCCCCAGATGTACATATATGTATATTCATATATACCTTATGTATGCTGTTATTTCCTTGTGGTGCCTTTGTCATTTTTTGTTACTCTGGATTACAAAAGATTTATAAGATAATGAGCACAGTGACTACAATGAGAATGGGAGCTTATGATCTGGCAAGGATGACCACTTTGTTGTGTAAAACTACACACTGGTAAAACTGCAAAAGTTGGTGTGTCATAGTGACACTTTGCCTCTGTGCAAACATGCTGTGATTTAGCATATGCAGTAGCACAAAGAACATCATATTTAAAGCAGAGATCTCTTTAATACTTTATTTCTTAGTCAAATGTGGATATATCTCCATTTTCACGTAATGTTTCAACTGGATTATATATTCTAATAATGGAGAAAAGAGAGCTTTAAAAATAGCAATCTCATTTGTACATGCAAGTAGACTCCTTTTGAGAAGAGACAGATGGAGCAGAGGATCAGCAGTTGAATAATCAGGGGAGTTTATTTTATAAACTTTTAACCTTTGCCTCCATCTGATAGCCAAAGTCTGAGAAGATTACTCTCTCCCTCATCTGATTTCCCCCCCCCCTCTTTTTTGGAAGTGTAGCCCTATTGAACTAGCTCTAACCACAGTCACCTTAAAATTTAAGACTTCTCAAATAGCATCAAAAGTCGTTATGAATTTTTTTGAAATGTAAATCTTACTACTTGATTTTACAGTACCTGAGCAAGGTTCATGAGCGTATCTCTGAAGTGCCCTGAAGTCTCAGAATTGATATCTTGTTGAAGATCAGTATTATATTCTAGGTTAAACCAAAAACATGTAATCTAAATCACAAATGATATGCTCTGCATAGTACAAATGAAGATTATCAAACAAAAGATTAATAAATAGGATTCAAATACTTGTCCATTCTCTATGGTGTTTATTCCACTGTAACCTGGGCAGGTTCTCCATGGACCTGGCCATGGGGCTGGCACTTTGCCTGGCCCTGCTGGGGGCACTCAGCCGCTGTCCCTACTTGCCTGTCCACCCACCCACGTTGTTTCAGCCTTTGGAATATAGTCAGGGGAGGAGATGGGGAAGGGAACCAGGAAGTATTGAGGAGTCATTTTTGTAGTTCTCTTCCTTTGTGTGTGCTAATACGTCCAGAGCACATGTAGTACAACTGCTACAGTGCACTTGTTAGAAAACATTACGCATTAGGTAGGCTTCTTTCATCTGGAAGATCTCCATGTTTGGTCTTGAGGCTAATAAGTCAATTAGGCATTTTTCTTCTGTGTCTGCCCCCTGTGTGGAAAGAAGTAAATACAAAAAGATGTGTAGTAGAAACCACAGTTTTTAGAGGAAAGCAATGCTGTGCTTATCAGAAGTAGCAAAAGAATAGCAGTCTCTGCTGGAGCAGCGCAGAGTGCATTTTAATAGTAAACCCCTGTAAAAAAATATATTTTTACTTAATCTGAATTTCAGCATGTACATTAGCGAGTGAGGAATGAAGCAAGACAAGTGTTGACGGAAACACAATGGGAATGATTTTAGAGCTTTAGTAAGAATTTAGGATTTGCTGAAAGAAACCAGGTGCAAAGATTGAGCAAACGTCCCCAGCAAGTGTTAAGGCAATCTGAAGTAGACACGAGCACAGCTATTATGTTTGTCTTT